GTTATACTGCTGTCTTTTGTTCACGAACCTGGCTCAGTGCACTGCTGACCTCTTTTCAATAGGGGCCAGATTAGCATGCAGCGGTGCTGTGTGGCTCATGGCTGCGGTGGTGGAGAGCTTTTGTCCCCGGTGGTAATCCGCTTGCTCTAAATACCCCAAACCCTGGTATACGGTTTCAAAATAACGCTGGATTATCATCAATTTTGAGAGTGAAAAATGCCGGTAATGCCCAGCAGCCTGGTCTTTTGTTCGGAGTACGGTCTTTTGTAACAGGGCCCTGTTTCCTTTGTCCGAGTTCGGAGACCCCGGCCACACATATAAACCATACGGCTCCGATTTCGGACTCCCCGGCTGGTAGTGGTTAAAGGTAGGTTGCACTACTTCTAAAATCACAAAAATGAGATTGCCAAATAATCCTTGCATATCTTACTTCGAAAAAAACAAAAAGCAACCTTGGTGAGCCTGTACAATATTTCCACCCAGACAGCTGTTGTTTTCAAGAGAACAGAAATTTTGCTCATTTTAAAGAATGGTTGGCCAACCATTATTTAAACATTTGTTTCATTTTAAATATATCCATTAACAGGCACCAATTTTTTTTGTGTGCCGTGTGTACATATGTTGAAGGAGTCTGAATACTAAGCAAAAATACATCAGCCGAAAATTTACAAAATGCATTGAAATCTGAATTGAGGAAAATAAGAGTAAGGTACATGTATAAAGTATAAAAAAGTAGATCAGTTTGACGTTATATTTTATCAAAGAAAAAGGATTTTGTTAATGCAAAAATGTTGCAATCACATAATCCTCCCCGAAGCATCATGGTATAGTCCGAACTGTCAGCAGAGCATGGCTAAGATAACTGCTGTTTCTGAGCTACACAGTGAGAGAGTTTTCCACAGGAGACGCTACGATTTGGAGACACTAAACCTCCTGCATATTCAGATAGAATGTCCTCTATTAGTGAACTGAGAATGGATTTTAGACTTCCACCAGCCACCAGTGAGACTGTGTGGTACAAAGACCCTTGAAAAGATTGAGGTGGCCATCCACAGGTCCGAGAGTGGGAGGTAGCCAGGCTCTGGAAAGTCAGCGATGCCAACCCCCAGAGAACCAGGATGCTGGTGGCTTACATGACTGGCCACTCAGGCAGTAGGGATTGCTTCAGCATTGGTCAGAGGTATGTGCTGTTGTTCACATATTGGCTGAAGTGGAAGTACATCAGCTAAAAGGCCTGGTTTGGGAGGACTTCACAGGGCATCCTGCAGGAGGCTGGAAGGGCTTTAATCTGTGAGGTTTCGTCTAAGGCACAGCCATCTATTGCTGTCCGGTTTCCCTACAGCCAAGCCCCTTTTTGGTCAGTAGCTTTTAATCCCCTTCTACTGGCCGAGGTACTGGCACAACATTGTAAGATACATTTATATAGATTCCCTTAGAAATAAATCACTAACTGTGATTATCTTCATGTACTATTGCATGATGATAAGTTTTGGAAAGATTAATAGTAGTGAAGTGTTACAGATTCCTAGCATCTTCATTTACAGTTGTCCTTATACTCTTGGGATTTTGCATTTCTTATTGTTACTATCCCGTGAGTTTCCTGTTATATTTTCCCTGCCAATCCGTCTCTGGGGATCTCTCACGTTAAGAGATTAAGACAGAACACACGACCACGGTCTTCATCGTCAGCCTGGCATTTTCTTTGTACATCTCTCAGCATTGCCTAGTACTCAGACACTAGGCGCAACATTTTTTCATTACCTTCATGCAGATAAGTGCCAGGTTCAGGTCCAGTGACAACACAAAGTGTGATGGCACTACTCTGGGTTGGAGGAACAGATGTAGAGGGAACGGGAGGTTTGAGTGTGCTGACGGTGGGACGTACACTTGTTCTGCTGACTAGAAGCACAGGTGTTGTGATGACCGCAGGTTCGGTTGAGCTGACGCTGGGAGTTAAGGGTGTGCTGCTAACTAAAGGCGCAGATGAGTTGACAATTGGAGGAAAAGGTTTGTTGACAGCTAGAGGTATGGGTGTGCTGACCGCTGGAGAAGCATGTGTTTCGACTGTTGGAGAGATGGGTGTGTTGGGGGCTGAAGGTGTGGTGACCGCTGGAGCTTGAGGATTGGGTGTGCTAGTGGCTGAGGGCACAACAGGTGTGCTGGAGCTTGAGGATTGGGTGTGCTAGTGGCTGAGGGCACTACAGGTGTGCTCAGGTGCCACTGTGCTGGCAACTGGAAGTGGATCAACAGCAGGTGTAAAGCTGCAGAAAAGGCCAGGGGACAGCTGGTTCTGGAGTGCAGTGGTGGGAGCACCTGTTTGTGGAGCCATCTTGAAGGTGAAGTATTTCATTGCCTCGAGAAAGCTCTCATTCCAGTTCTGCATGTGTTCCAGTTGCTCCTGTTCAACTCACAAGAACACTTTGGTTGGCCATAGGAGATGATTGCTGGACACCAGTATTAGATGCAGGTTGCGCTGCATTGATGAGATCTAATCTTGAACTTCCTGGCCTCAATGTGGTCTCTGATGCCAGTCAGCGGGATGCCTGTTCAGGTGATTCTCTTCAATATGAAGGAACTGCCTTGTTGGATCATGACTATTGCACAAACTGTGCAGGGTGCAATGAACAGCAGAGTGGCAGAGAACAGGAATTTGACATCTTAGGTGTCATCTTGAAAAATAACAATTCAGTTAGTAACTTTACCGGCATTGAGGGTGTTGAAAAACTGGAACATGTTTTCTAATACCTTGAACCGAAGGTTCAACCAATGAGGTACTGTATGGTGATAAAAAAACAGTTGATGCCCAGCAGATAAAGGCACCAGGACGACCTAAGCAATTAAGCTTAATTAAGGCATGAATTTCAGTGTTGTTGAAACTTATGTTAGATCCAACAATGTCTTTTCTCGCTGGCCTGTTTGGCATTTCTAATGGTACAGCCTCAGCAATATTTAACATTTGGATGAAGCTTCTCACCCATGAGCTCAGGCCATTGATTCATTGGTCAAAAAAAGTTTTGGAGACTATTCCTGATAAACTGGGAAAGCAATTCAAGCTCCTGAGATGTACGTTGGAGTGTGCAGAATTAGCATTTGGTCAGATAATAAAACATAATACACTCAAAATCCTCATTACTATTGCTCTGAATGGGATGACATCTTTCGTTTTTGGATTGTGGGGCAGAAGAATGTCCGAATGGAACTTCTTCCATTTCTGAAGAAGTTCCTCAACTGTTACAGGTCGGATGATGGTCTTCTCTTCACACCAAAAATTGTCATCTGAACATAGATTAGTTTCCGGACTGCCATGAGTACTAGTACTTTTCGATGACTTCCTCATTCCCGCTTGAAGGGAACTACGGAGAAAAGGAGGACAGAGAATTCTTTGAAAATTATCCATCGCAAGTGCCCACTGTTGTCGACATTCTAAAGGATCATGGCCTCGCTTCTCCCAAGCAGTGGTCGGAGACATAGTCATCTGCTGGATTAACAGCATATCAGTTACAGATAGAAGTCATGAAGAAAGTAACCGAGGTCAAGAAAAACAAAATCATCATGAGTACACTAAGAAGGCTGATTTGTACTCATCAGATATCAGTCCGTCATCGATGTGAGGGTTGGAGTCAAGAAAAATGACATCAGCAGCAACCACAGGGGTCTTTGAGAGTGAAGTGTCTAGTTGGTCAGTGGAAGACAAGAATAAATTATTTGTAGGAGGTGACCCCTGCATGGATAGACGAACGGCCTTCAAAAGTTTTTCCTGCAGCATGACAATATACACTACCCAGACCACAACTTTGCCACTAGTTATCCCAAGTGGACACATACTTCCTTGAGAATAGTCTGTGAAGCCCACTCCAAAGAGATCACAGTCAACTAGCCCTCCAAGATCAACAGAAAATGCGGAAAGCAGCTAAAACACTCACGAAGATCCCCTTCCCAAACTGCCATTGAAGTACTGTGAAGATGAATTATGCCACGTGCATTACAAATATCCAAGAACTGGTCCTCTCACTGTAAATTTGTCTACAAGACTACAACCTACAACCATCATACCGATATGCTTCCACTTATCAGAGAAGGGACACATAATTTTTGTCTTGTGCGCTCACCATACTTTTGATGCCAAAGGGTAAAGTGCATTCTGAAGGAAGCAAAACTCCAACGAACACAAGCACACATGACGATTTGCCATGTTTTGGTTGTCTTTACAATAGTATTTCTTTGTGTTAACATTTCACCAAGTGCATCCGTTTTCATCATCATCGAATGTACATATTTTGCCATCATTTATCAACATTTGTTAGTCTGCATCGTCTTCGTTACTGTCTGTATCTGTGAACGTTAACCACCACCTAGAGGAGCTGTAAATCCGGTTCCACATTACAGTTTGGTCTGCACCTTTCTGTGCCATCATCAACGCAGCCCCATATCGTCACGCCAGCAATTGTTTCAGGAACCGAACACCTTATTCTTCCATGGGTGAGTCCACATAACAAATTAACTGATCCCCAAATGTCTGACAATGGCCCTGACTAGCAAAAAGGCAGCTTGAAAGTTGTCATGATGATAGAAAGACTGTGGCATGACCTCTGTCTGGACTATCTGCATCGCTACATATGCTCCAGGTGACAGTCAATTTAACATGATCAAACACAGTTGGGCACCTTTGACCATGTGGCTAACTGGCCTTCAGTTGTCTGCAACTTTGGGGGGGGGA